ACACATTTTTTAATATCTGTTGCAGTTATGAGCTATTGTATAAGTTTGTTATAATTACTACAATTGTAACTGGCTGTTTCCTCAAAGGGTCTTGCAACTGGAATATTTTATATCATTGAGGCAACAAGGAAAAGGTATGCTGAGATATTTATTCTTTATTTTGCTTGCAATCATATAAAGCAAACCTTTGAAATCTGTGCTTGCATTTTTTCCTCACTAGCAACCTAATAATGAATGATAAGATGAGCAATAAAAACACTGCTTAAATAATTTGTCTGTATGGTTTCCTAAATCCCTACTGACCTAAACGAACAGCTAAACCAGGCAATGTCTATTCTATACCAGCAGCAAGACCGTGGCATTAATGAGCAAACCCTACTGATGGTTCCTCCATCAGGAAGGTGTCTGTGAGCTGGAATTGTTTGTATGGTCACATGCAGAGAGCAGTGGTCAATGGCTCAATGTCCAGACACAGACTAGTGACGAGTCGTGTCCCTCCGGGGTCTGCCTAGGGACCAGTACTGTTTAGTATCCTCACCAACAACTAAAAGAAGGTAGATTCAGACTAGATATAATGAAAAAATATTTACAATGAGGGTAGTGAAACACTGGACCAGGTTGCCCAGAGAGGTAGTAGATGCCTCATCCATGGAAACATTCAGGCGTGGACATGGCTCTGAGCAACCTGGTCTAGTTTAACATGTTGCTACCCGTGGCAGGGTATCTGGACTAGCTGACCTTTAAAGGTCCCTTTCAATCTGATCAACTGTATGATCATGGGAATGAACAGTACATGGTTCTGTGCAGTAGTAGGGAACCCAGTGATCCATGTAGTTCTTTGCATGTAATGTGCTTCTTTGCATATTATGTTGATATCACATAGCACTATCTAGAGAATATAAAAGCTGTATATCTGTTCTTCTCTTTTCCTTATGCGAACAGTTCCAGTTCCAGCCTGCAAAATCCTCCTGGTGATAATGAAGAAAGGACTCGTCTAATGGGCAATGAAACATAGCCAGGCATACTTTCAATTCTCTGTTTGCTGTTGTTGTTTAACCTAGTATTGAGGTGACTGGCCTTAACAGTGCTTCATTATTCTGGAGCTGGGACATGATCCCTTAGTGAACAACCAGTTGTGGTTTAATTGTAGAGACATTACTGTTTTGAAACACTAAACACTGACTGCCTTTCTTTTGGAAGTTCTCCTAAATGATGAGTAACACTCAGCTGTCAGCCTATTTAATTGTGTTCCATGTACAGTGCACCACTGTATGTGAAAAGTTGTGTTCTCAAATGTCTTGTTTCCATGCTTGTGTGTGCTGTGCATTATTCTTGGGTAAAGCTACTATTTTGCTACCATGATTTTCTGTACTTTTTTAAAGGAAATTCATTATCTTGTAAAAACAGAATTTGAAATTATAAAGGACCAAGCACAATATTGTTTTCAATAAATCAACTTTTTCCCTAAGTTTTGTACATTTTCTTAGACAACGAGAGTGTAAGATACTTCTTGTCTACCAGCACTTGTGTTATCTTGCAAGTGCCTGAAAATGAGATGCAAAAATAATGAAAATTTGCCATATCTACACAATAAAAACTGATCTTCAGTCCTGGGGGAGACTTGGCATCTGGTGTATACATTTATATACATACACAAAAGATAAATGGATGTTTGTATTATATATGAAGACTCAGCTTGGTGATTGTGAGATTTATTGTGCTAATAAATGCCAGCCAGAATGTTTGTACTTATTGCTTCTGCAACAGCAAATCTCTAAGGATTCTAGGGCTACTATGGAGAAGAAAACCCAACATTACCTCACCTCTTCCAGATGCTCAGCTAAAGACATTCAAAGGGAACTGGGACAAGGACAACTCCTGACAAACTCACAGTAGATTTCTTGACCTTGGTTGTGGCAAAAGTCTTTTAATTTATCATGGAGCCCATAACTGGCTTCTAGAAGGGCTTCTTTGTGGTGGCTTTTTTACCATAAATAAGAAAAGTGGTCTGTCCTAGCAACTTCCAGTCAGTTTCTTCTGTGAATAGTTCCTGGATTTTACATAAGAAATACTTCTTTCTCTATCAGAGCTCTTTTGGCCTAGAAAGAACAACTGCTGTGGTAGCCAAATGAGCTGTGAGACTTCAGGGTACCAAAGGGCAGACTTCTCCACGGAACATCTTGTTAATAGCTTCCTTTCCATTTTGTATCAGACATTAGACTATACTGAAACCAGGAATGTACACCTCAATTTACTGGGAAATGCTGACCATGCCAATGCTGATGATAAGCCAAGTGAGAAGGAGCTGAGAGGACTGGAGGTGGATGCAAGATATTTTCTAATATTTTATTTTCTCCTTTTTTTTTTCTTTTCCATGAGCAATGCAACCTTTCTTGACAGAGAAAATCATTTAATTACCCCAAGTATCCAGGATTTGTGACTTTCAATACATCCTTTGGCTACGTTGGTATTTTCACTTGTGCAGAGTTACTCTGCCGTGACCCAGCTGTGGTCTTGGCAAGCAGATTTCAGATTGACACGATTCTGTTCACTGCTTGGGTGAACCCCTTCCACAGTTGTCAGCTGTCCAATTTCACTCAGCGTGGGCCTTGGCAATGAGGGTCAACTTCCTTTCAGCAAATACACACAACTCCACTTTAGATATGACAGGTCATGTGACAGTGCTCCAATTGATCCTTGTTCTCATGGGCAACATTTCTATCTGTGTAGTGCAGCTGACCTGAACAGAAATTCCCATCAGCTTTAAGCATGCATACACGTCAACAGGCCTAGGACATGAGAACTTGTAAAGTTCTTGATATAAACGAAATAAAAATGTGCTATGTAAGAATTTGGAAATTCCTAAGTTGACTACTACACCCCTAGTCTTTGTTAAATAATCAGTCCTGGGAGTTTATGAGTATTATTCTTCATCTTCTGACCCTGGTGTTTTATTGGTATTTTGGCCATATAAAGACCCAAACTTCATTTTCTCCACTAGATGGAACCCTAACTATGAGAAATGTTCTCATGAGTTCTGCAAATAGTACTTGTGGGCTGGAGACATTGAGTGTCACATTTTCTTTGTAGGCTTTGTTTTCACTGTATATTTTGCTGAGCAGATGCTAGAAGTCAAGCAGCAATTTTGTGTGCATGTGTTTGCAGAATTGAGAGTTCGAGGTAATGGGACACTGTTGTGATTTGTCAGACATCAGTGGTCAAAAAGCCACTACAAGAGCAACTTAGTTGTTACCAGAGTCCTCTGTCCTCTGCCTTGAGCATAAGGCAGCTTTATTTCTGCCTGATTTTCCTGGTTGTATTCAAACAGTAAGTCCATCTTGACAATTCTCTTCTGCCCTGTGTCCCCAAATCCTCTAGAACCAGATCTCCCTCAAGACAGAAATGTAATTTTTCTCAGCCTTCCTGCTAGCTCCAATTGAGATTGGAGCTCTTTTGACTAGATCAACATTACTGAATATATGATTGTGTGTTTGCCATACAATAGTATTGCTTTGATGATGCTCCTGCTTATTTTGCTTTTCATAACCAGGTGCTGGCTGATGGACGTCTGATAAATCGGAATACTACATCGAAGCCAGTTTTGAGTGTAACACTCTTTGGGAGGTGGTATGAAAAGGACCCTCCATCCACAGATCAAGCTTCAGCATGATTTCACTGCAGATCCTTTCATCTGCTCGTTTCTGTAACACTAATTAAACACAAATAATGGTAATTAAAAGTAATATTCATAATTAAGATGGCATTCTATTTTTCTAGTTGCCTTATCTAATGGCATAGTTACTGCACTTTGATTTATTGACTCGATTTTGCAGCAAAAACCAATACTCTGCTGGACCGTTATGTATTTTTATACGAGAGCTTTGGTTGGCATAGGCTTGGCCTGGGAACAATAGAAACACTGGGAACAACAGAAAATAAATTCTTCTGACTTTACTGGTGTAGGATTCAGTGGGTTGTGCCCCAATAAAGAAGAGTTTTTAATTATTTGAAATTTTTGTTAGACTATTCAAAGCCATTTCCACAACACTGCTCCCACCACATTTCTGAACAGCCACTTTTGTAAACAAGAGAAAACAGAACCTTTGAAAATTTTAACTTCCTTTGAAAAGGAAAAATAGTCCCAAAAATATGTTCCTTCAAAAAAAACAGTTATTCAGCTCAGCACACTGCAGTGTGTTATCATACCATGGCCTAACTCACAGTTGAAGGACTCTAATCTTTCTGGCCACATTTTTAGGATGTGGAAAATCTCCCTAGCACAGAATTGTCAACTGTTTGTGTCACAAAGGCTCAAAAGAAGCAATTTCTCAGGAGCATGTCTGTGTTCCCATGGAATGGTTGCTCCTACAGGTGAAAGGGAGAGCCAGGACTGCAGCAGCAGGTGTTGGGTAAGGGGAGGGAAAAGCTGGAGCCGGTGGGACAGGCTGGCACGTGTGAGGACGTGGGCCCTGCAGAATGTGCTTTAGGCAAGTGGACTGGATTGCTTTGTGTGTGCCAGCTAAAATTTCTATGTGTGCCCAATTCTGTTGTTTGTTCTGCAGGCTTGCTTTGAAGCACAAACATTGTTTATACTTCATCTGACCAAGATCATTGAAAAAATATAGACTTGTAGGAGGCAAAATACATTGGTGTTTTTTGACAAGGGAATGTCTTAAGAATGAGATTATATTCTGTGAAAGTATCGAACTGGATCCCTCTACAATTCATGTAGTGGAAGTAATGGGAAAGATCCTACTGTTTGGGGAGGAAAAGCACTGTATCTTTAAATTTCTCCCCGCGCCCTAGGGGAAGCTGTCCTGTTAGGGCACAAGTAACAAAACTACGCGGCTGTTGGCAGAAGTGAGCGCCTCCTGACTTCCTGACCCCTGCTCACATGTGCTCAGGGCTCGGCAGGGATTGCGTGGCTGCCGAGTGCCCTTTCACACAGCCTCCTCCAGGCAGGGTTAACCCTTGGAATGCTCAGTAGTCTTCCTCACGCTCTCCTCTCGCTAAGCTCAAGAAAAGAAGCCGGCGCACAGTCTGACGACAGACTCCCTCTACAGCTAAGCTGATTTAGCACCACATTGCATCCTGCTTCGCAAAGTAAATCCTCAGGTAGCCCCCACCATCAGGCGGTGGCAGCGGTGGGGACGGTGCCGTACAGGGGTGGGAAGGGTGCATTGGGAGGAGAGAGGTGTGGAAAGTAGGCGGACCTCTAGATAAGTTTCCCCTTCCATTGTTCACAGCCGCGGAGAGCCCGGATCGCTGCAGTTTTCTTCAGTTTAGTCGGTGGATTTGTTTGTTTACCTGGTGTCAGTTCCTTGCTCCTGGGCGAGCTCCCAGCCCCGCAGGAAATAGGGAGCGGCGCCTGCTGGTACCGAGGCAAACAGGGAGAACTCCACTGCACCTTGTGCCGGCAGTGGGACTGGAATTCTGCGGGGCATTCCCCTGACACTGCACTTGTAAATATTTCTGCTCAGCCCTGGCAGGGCAGTCACCTTCTGGCTGATGTCCTCACTATTGCCAAACAAGGGAGCATTTGCTACTTCCTCTTTCACACTGATGTCTGATTGTGCTTAATGTGAGTCAGCCTATATTTTGTTTGGTAAAAAAGTGAGGCAGAGAGGGAGGAAGGCTCCCAAGCTACATTAGTTCAAGTATCACCGAGATCTCTCCTGCAGCCTTTAAAAGGCTTGTATTTCAGGCTCCTGAATGAGCATGCTGGATCTAGGAATGTGTAAAGAGAAGTACTTGGGGACGAAAATCACCAGATAAATATCAAAGTTCCTAATGATTGAAACCCTCAGTCAGCACTACTCTGTGAGAGGACTCTGTGGTATCTGCATTCATCAGCCTGTCTGTATTTTCTGAACCAGCTCGACAGTGACAGTCTGCCGTAGCTGAAAGCAGACAGCCTGTTCTGATTCCCACTGCTCAGACAGCCTTTTTCAAATGAGAATACTGCAAATACTAGAATGTCAAAAAATGGAAAATGTTATAGGAACAAATGGATTTGAAGTGAGTTGAAGATTAAAAGTGAAGGCCTCTCAATGCACAGCAGGTTCAAGGGAGCAGAAAGATGTGCAGAGGAGCAGGCATGCTACTGCACCTGGTGAACTAGCCTGCTCTTTTGCTTCAGGCTAGCGAGAGACAGGCAATGAGTTGCATGCCTTGTTTCATATTTTTCTATCCAGATTAATATTTTCTGGTGGAATGCTGTTGGAAAGTGATGTTCAGCTAAACAGAAGTGACTGGGAGAGACACTGGCAAAAACTCAAGGGACAGTTCTGTTGCTGGCCTGTTGGCTGCATGACATCTAAATACAGCGAGATGCCAATGCAATTTCTGTGGTCTAGAGAAACTCAGAAGCAAGCTGCACGTACTGAGACATAGCATAGGAATTGAGGAATAACAAGATACTAGAATAAAGAAATTTTTATTACCCTGAGTTTTACCACTCAAAATTCACAGAAGACTAGCTCCACTGGTGGCAATATTCACCTGGGTAGCAGCTGAGCCCACACAGAAAAAGTCTTGCTGTAATCAGTGATAGAGAAGAGTAGAACAACAAAAATTGGCCTGTGCTTTCTAGATATGATTTTAATGACTTATTTTTTTACTGGCCCCATTAGTCTTGGCATTGCCCAGCATTTTTAATTTGTTCAGTCGTGTCATCCTTACCGTGTACTGCAATACTTTCTTATATCTCACACTCGGTTCCAAGGTAATGCTTTAACAGACCTGCAGTTCGTTCCTCCCTCTTGCAAAGTAAACTTTGTCCCCCTTCTCTTTTCTGTGCATGTTGATTTTGCACTGTTTGTCCAGAGCACTCTAGGAGCTGGGAGACTGCAGCCATGCTCCCTTCCCAGGCTCTCCTGCCCGCTGTGGTGTTTGCACTCGCAGCCCTTCAGGCCCTTGCCTCTGACACCTTCATGGCAGCCGTCTATGAGCACGCCGTCATCCTGCCACATCCCACCCAGGAGCCCGTCCCTGCCAGCGATGCTTTGGCCCTGATGAACAAAAACATGGATGTCTTGGAAGGGGCCATCAAGGAAGCTGCCCAGCAGGTACGAGGGCTGCCATGAGGGCTGTCCATCAGTGTTTCCTGGTCCTGCTGACCCTCCTGGTTGTCTGTTGATGGGTGCCCTTTAAACGGAACCTGTTGCGACAGGGTGCCCACATCATTGTGACTCCTGAAGATGGCATCTATGGCTGGCAATTCACAAGAGAATCCATCTACCCCTACCTGGAGGATATCCCTGATCCAGTGGTGAATTGGATTCCCTGCACTGACCCCTCAAGGTGATTCCTTCTGCAGTGGTTTAGGTGATTTCAACCTGTTATCTTTCTCATGGAGTCTTGAGCAGCAGACACTAAATTACTAAGAACTGCTAACAACTCTAACCTAAGTTTTAATTAAAATTTAGTATGAAGGTATTTAAATGGTTAAATATATACCATGTCCATGACTAATTGATGAGGGAAACATTAGGTTTGGGTTTTTTTTTAATTAGACACTTTATAGAGAAATTCAAACAACATACAGAATTTAGGTTACTAAAAGTTGAGGAAATCTCTTTTTTTGATGCCAGAATATATCCTGCTTCTTTTTCTGCTTTCAGTTTTTCCACACTATTTTAAATAGAACTGACTGTAAATTATTAACAGTAGTATTTCTTTGATTTTTTGGTTTGTTTGTCTTTTACAAATGGCATGTTGAAACAAAAGCACACAAATCATTTTTGTGGACAGCCAGGAAGTAGTCTCTGAGCAGATAATAAGAGATGATGAAGTCAGTAATTAAAGTCCAAACTTCTAAATGATAAAATCCCAGGAATTTTTAATCTTGGTTTTCCACAGTTAAGGTAAGATAAAGTCTGAATTGCTAGAGTCTCTGTGCTGTAAAACATGATCTGTCATTCAAGCAGCATGTTTCAGCAGTGACAAACTAAGCTACATCTGAGGACTGGACTTTAGACTCCTACAGCATGTAATATGTGTTCAGCTATGGAATTACAGCCGTGGTCTGCCCTTTTCATCATGGCTTTCTGCACTTCCTTGATGAGAGCAGGTTATTGTGTCACTGGGGATATAATAACTCAGTGCTTCCAAGAAGAGTCACAGTTGCAGGGATGTGCAAGTTTTTGCTGAGATATAAGTAGCTAAAGTATACAGTCTTTCATTGAAGGTGGAGTGTGGGGTGGCAGTGTGTCTAAGCAGGTCTTTATTCTACGGCATCACACAGGTTTAGCAGAGGTGATCTTAGTGCCTCCTCACTGTTCCAAATCAGGGGTTTCCCTAGCAGCTTTTGGGAATATAACACTTGCCATCAGTGTCTGGCATGCCTTATTCCTGGTGCTGTGTGTGTATCTTGCATGGAGGTCCTCCTTGTGTGGCCCACACACACCTTGCAAAGCTGTAGGCATTGCCACACTGCAAAGGGGAATGAATGGCTGCTCTCTTTATGGCCTGGTACGGACGCTTCAGAGGTGCTGCCAGCTTCTGGCACATGGACACTGTCATGTCTCGAAATTAATAGCCCACTGCTCTTCAGGCCATGGTTACAGGTTTGTGTGCGCCTGTCTATGGGAGGAAATGAATGCTGAATTGCCTTTACCATATCATCTGCATTATCCCACTCAACCTTGCTTAGCATGCTAAGGGCCCAGAGCTGCAGCCCTCAGGTGTCAGTATGCCTGATGTTAAAATATTTGCCTGTGTGACACCAAGCTAGTGTCTTCCTCTGCCCAAAGATTGCTCTCCTGCCCTTTCCCAGCCCGAGAATTATCTGTTTACTGCAGAGCATGTTCCAGATGCTGAAGGAGACTGGCTGGCATGTCTCTGCAGAGGCCAATGGGAGGTCTCCAGGGCCTACCCCAAGGTGCAGGAAGCAATCTGAGGAAGCACTGCAGCAACTCTGTGTATCTGCCTACCCTGCCATGGCTGCAGGGTTGGAGATGCTGCTGGTGTGACCCCAGGTACTGTGGAAATGGACACCACTGACGGCACAGGTTTTGTTAATTTTGTTTTTCTCCTTCCCTAAAATACGTTAGATTTGGTCCAGCACCAGTGCAGGAACGACTCAGCTGCATGGCCAGAAATAACTCCATCTATGTGGTTGCAAATATCGGGGACAAGAAGCTGTGTAACTCCAGTGATCCCAGCTGCCCCAGGGACGGTCAGTACCACTACAACACGGATGTCGTCTTTGACACACAGGGGAAACTGGTGGCTCGCTACCATAAGGTAAAGTGGTCTTAGAAAGACAAAAATTAATTTTCCCCTACTTCCAAAATATCTAGGTTTGGGAAGAGAGTTAGATACCAGTCATTGTCCACTGTCAGGGTTTTGTTTTTCTTTATAATTTAAAAGAATATCTCTCTTGCTATGAAGTGTCGATGCCAAATTTGCATTTGCTGTCATGTTTCTCAAAACAGACTGGAATGAAAAATGATTGTTCTGGTGCAATTTAGTGGCATATGGTTTTGGTTGACTTCCTCAGTTCATTAGCTCGCTACTACTGTAAATTCTGCTGCTTGAGCAGCTTCAGTTTTCAGTGCCAGCTTTTCACCAGACTACCACTTCATGTTCCAGGATTTCAATGTTCACATCCATTTCATCATAGATGAGCAGTCTGACTTCAGAGAGGCAGGACCTTTATTTCTGATTCTGTTTTGGCACAGTTTTTGCCCAATGGAAATTGTTTGGACTCCCAAAGCAAGTGAAAATGCCAGATGGATGTAAAAAGAGATAAGGATATTGGGTTGTTTGCACCAAATGGAAGTTCCACTTTCAGTATTATGTGCCTACCTGCAAGTTCCATCAAAGTTGTTTATGAATTATGTGCCAGATATCCTGCCAGTGTGGGTAGAGTGAAGTCAGTTTATTTAATGCACTTTGGGCCCAGTATTTCATCTGGTTGTTTAGAGAAAAGATGCCAAGATATCTATTTGTGAGCAAACTGGGTGAATGAAACACTGATAAAGCAAGTCTGTTCCCCAGCCTGCTATGGCCCAGGTGCTGAATTACAAGTTAAGTAAACTTGAACTTCTTTTCTAGCTTGGTATCCATATTTACATTCAGACCACCTGGACATTTATAAAAGGCTCTTAATATGTATGTGAAGGAGGAAGGAAAATGTTGGAAAGCTGAGGATGTCAAAAACTTCAGTTTTTCTGTTGGCTGAGATCATCTGCCTTTCCCCCATCAGCACAGCCTTTGTTTTTTACTCTGCAGCGTCCCAAATACTGTCCTGTTCTTCATGCTGGTGCTCTGTACTTCAGTGCTTCTGGGCATCTCCACACCAAAGTCACCAATTTTGTCTCTTGGCACCAGATCCTCCATACTTCTCTTACATTACTATTTCTCTTCTGGTTGCATTTGGGTTGCCAGAAATATGAACTAGGTGGGGAGAGTGGAGAGATTATTGTTATGCAGATGACACCAACAGACCTGAAGGCAGCTGGCTGCTTTCCTAGCTAGATGCCAGGGCAGTATGCAATATGTGTTCCGTATTTTGGGTATGATGATCATGTAATTTGAGCCTGATTTCCTACCTGTGAGGGCTTCCAACACAGGTCAAAATTTTTCTCTAGTCATTCTGAGCAGCTTTAGGGAATGAATCCAAGACACATGGTTAGTGTGCCTCTAACTGGTTTCTCTATTTTCCTTCCCCTACAGTATAATCTCTTTCTAGGAGAAAATCAGTTTAATTATCCGAAAGAGCCAGAAGCTGTCACCTTTGAGACTCCTTTTGGGAAGTTTGGCATTTTCACTTGCTTTGACATCCTTTTCTATGAGCCTGCCGTGGTCCTGGTGAGCAAGATGCAGGTGGACACTGTGCTCTTCCCAACAGCTTGGATGAATGTCCTGCCCTTTCTGACTGCAATTGAGTTTCACTCTGCCTGGGCTATGGGCATGGGTGTCAATGTCTTAGCTGCCAATACTCACAACACCAGCATGGAAATGACAGGTAACTTAATTTTCACTCTGTGCAAGGATCTTGATAACCATGAATCTCTTATTCCCCGTTCTACAAAGTGATTTTGCAGAGGAATATATTTTATTTCTCTGGAAGGTGAAGAGTCTAGTCACCAGATTTTAAAGCTGATGAATCCTGTTCCTATTGGTTTCATAAAGACACAACAAAACTTGTAGTGTTTTATTTTCCCTAGCTTCTTAGAATTATCTTTTCTTTTAATGTCTCTAAATAAGTAGTAGGTCACTGCCCTTATGCCTGAACAGAAATTTTTGTGGTTTTTAAGGCTCTTTTCATCTCCACTTATAAGTCTATGGTTGAATGCCAAACTGTAAATATACTCGTAAACCATATATGTGGCTACATTTATTCTGCCAAATGAGATATTTATTTTTATAGTTGTATGTAACACTGTTACAGAAAACCATTAAAAACACATGTTCAGGCCTGTTGTAGTAACACTGCTAAGATATCCACATCTTCATTTTAGAATGTAGCATTGATTGTTTTTACAGCTAAGCTTATGGAATAGTGTATTTCAATTAGACCAGTATCTTCACTGACCTGTGCAACCACAGTATTGTTTTGGGACTGTTCATTTGAAATGCCTGACAGGCTTCTGCAGTGATGGGTGTGACAGACCTTTGATTTCCCTCTGTTGCTTGGTGCTGGTCAGATGTGAATCACTCATGAGGGGAGGAGTTCTCAGCCAGTGTAAAGGGGGCTGGAAAGTTGCTGTGTCCTTCTGTTCATGGACAGGCCTGTGATACTTGCCTGTGTTGTTGTGTTTTGGATTGTCTCAGTCAGTAGCTGGTCCTTTCACACCAATCAGCCAAGAAAAAAGGAATTATCAACTCTACTGCACACAGGAGAAAAGAGAACTGAGTAGGCCATAAATATATAACATAACATAAAACCCCAAACATCCTCTGGCTACACTAAGCAGACCTTATCTAAGGGAATAAATGGTATTCTTCGCCAAAGCATGAGCTCTGTGTACCGGGTTGCTAACTGTCACCTTTGGTGAGACTAAAATTACTGTGATCTGTGTAGAATTGTGGATAAGCTATCAGTAGAGACAACTAGAAGGACAACAGGATTTTAAAAATTTTTCTTGGGCTGACTGTTGTGCTCTCCTCAGGGAGTGGAATTTATGCACCAACTGGAGCCAGAACATACTCCTACAACATGAAAACTGAAGATGGTCACCTCCTCATTGCTGAACTAGATGCACACCCTCGTCTTTCTCCTGCCTGCCCACCTGCTGTCAGCTGGAACTCATATGCTTTGAGTGTTGAAAGATTCTCACAGAATGGTCATGAATTCACAGGAATCATCTTTGAAGATCCCTTTACTTTCACAGAGCTCACTAAGCCTGGGGGGAATTTCACTGTCTGCCAAAAAGACCTCTGCTGTCACTTGAGCTACAAGATGGCAGAGAAAAGAGACGATGAAGTTTATGTGCTGGGTGCTTTTGATGGCCTTCATGTTTTTGAAGGACAGTACTATCTGCAGGTAATTCTTTGGAGGGGATTATTTAGGAAGCTTATTTACAGGGAGAAACCTTCAGCTCTGTGGTGGAAAAAGAGAAGACAATGACTCTTCTATTCTGGAGTCCTACGGCACCTTTTGTTAGTAATGGAAAGAAGTTGCTAAATCTTCCAAGCCTATTTACCTTCAAATCCAACAAATGCAGTAGAGAGGTCTCTAAACGTCCTCTAAATGCCCAGAGTGCAGTCACTATTTTGTGGGTGTGCAATACTGGCTAAATTTAGGTTCTCTTCTGTGAATGTCTGCAGTAAGTGTTCTGAATCTCCTCTGAATCACAGAAGAGTTAGGATTGAAAGGGACATCTGAAGATCCCATAGTCCAATCCCTCTGCCAAGGCAAAGTCACCTAGAGTAGATTACACAGAAACGCATCTGGGTGGCTTTTGAGTGTCTCCAGAAAGGGAGTATCCAGGACCTCCCTTGTTGTCATCTTATTGCAAAAGTTCCATACCTTCTTGGTGATTTCTCACAGGCAGCTCCTCACAGCACAACCAACAAACTCCAACTCCCTTCTCAAGGGGCTAACCCACTCTTTTGTAGCACTCTTCTACTTATTGGACACAGCTGTAGCCTATTAAGGGCAGGCCTGTTCCTAATCTTTGGTGATTAGCACAGCTGCAACTCCTCAGGGCTGAGATTGCCTTCTGCACTATTTTCTTACATTCTATGCCCCCACACTCCCTGGGCAGCCTGTCCTGATGCTCTGCCACCCTAAATATAAAAAAGTTGTTCTTCCTCATGTTGAGGTGAAACTTCTTGTGTTTTTATGGCCATTGCTCCTTGTCCTGTTGCTGGGCACCAGTGAAAAGAGCCTGGCACCATCTTCTTGGCACACACCTTTGAGATATTTATATGTATTTATGAGAAACCTCTCAGTCTTCTCTAGACTTAACAGACCCAGCACTCACAGTCTCTCCTCATAAGAGAGAAGCTCCGCATTCCTAATCATCTTTGTGGCCTCAGCTGGACACTCTGCAGTAGCTCCTTTTCTTTCTTGTGCTGGAAAGAAAGAGGAGCCTGGGCACAGTACTCCAGATGTGGTCTCACTGTATTTTCATCAAAGAGATGCTGTTAAAAATCAGTTGATCATAGCTATCTTTATGAGATGCTCTGATAAGTTAGGGTCACAGAGATGTTAATTTTTTTGTCATTATCCAAATCATAGCAATGAAGCCTACTTAAATGGCTTATGACTTTTAGTGGAAATATCCTCTCTTCCTCTCTTTTAATCAAATATTTGGAAAGACAGTGAGCTGCATCCTGGTTGAATTTGCTTAAAGCCCTATTTGAAAACATCCTTTGCCTTCATAATTAAGTTATTGTGCCAGCAGATTATACTTTTTTTTAGTTACTTCTGTCTGTCAGCATCACTATTTTGTACCAGCTGGTACAGACTCTGGGATATGAGGGGAGGTGTTATCCAGCAAACAGCTCATCTAATACCAGGAAGGTAACTTGAATAAATTCGGTTCTTGGTGAGCTTGGTTGTAAAATTTATTTCAGTGGTTGTGAAAGTTGCCGGATACTCTCTGCCAGAAATGAAAGTTCTAGAGAATACAGGAATTTCTACTCTTCATTTTTCCCCTCAATATTTTTTTCATTTCCTCAGAACATATTGAACAGAACATTCTCAGAACATTCCTTATTTCTCTTATTTGCATTTCAACACAAAACCATATTTGCTGATGAATAATACTTCTGATTTTTTTGCAAATGTGCTTCTATCCCCCAATACCAGACATGTAGAAAAACTCCATCACCTATCAGCAAAACCAGGCAACGTCCTTCAAATCATTCCTGAATCAGAGGAGTGCTAGCCCTGTTTCATATTTCCTCATGAAGACTATAAACACTTATCAGCTGGATAATAAACTCTCATGACAAAAGGGAAACACTGTGATTCCTACTTTATCTGCTGCAACTATTAACAGAAAACTGTAACAAAAGATGCTAACTTCATCTCCTTGGCCTATATTAACGAGGATCTGGAAAGGGAACATCAAATTCAGAATTCCTATGGACTACCAGGCCATCTAAGTACCTTTAGCAACACGTATAATTAGCAGTAAGAGGATCTGGATGTGTACTTGTACAATGTACCTATGTGGAAGACTTTGTTTTGTTTGCCTAAAATTTCCATTCACAAACTCATCTTACTAAGACATGTGGGAAAGAAACCTTCAAATAAGACAATTGGTGATTGAAAGAATTAGTGAAAGGGACAGAATCAGGCTTCAGAGATGAAAAAAGGTGCTTTGGCTGCACTTATGTCAAAACCAATTTATTTATAAAATTATAAGACGAAGACAGTTTATTTATAAAATTACAAGACTAAGGTCTGGAATACACCCAGTCAGATCAAGGGGTAAAAAATAAGCTACAACTGAAAAGGAGTCAGCCAAGAATAATGAAGAAGATCCTGTGACTATCACCTGCTCTGACGCACATTAGCTTTGATGACACAAGGCAGCAGTGTAACCATCTTGCTAAATACATTGTTGTTTCCTCCTCCCCACAGATCTGCACTCTGCTCAAGTGTCCCAGCACAAACCTGAGCACGTGTGGGCAGCCCGTGGAGACGGCTCAGACCAAGTTTGAGATGTTCTCCCTCAGTGGCACGTTTAGCACCAGCTACATCTTCCCAGAAGTGCTGTACAGCGGGGTGCAGCTGGCCCCTGGGGAGTTCAAGGTAATGGGACACTCTTGTGATTTGTCAGACATCAGTGGTCAAAAAGCCACTACAAGAGCAACTTAGTTGTTGCCAGAGTCCTCTGTCCTCTGCCTTGAGTATAAGGCAGCTTTATTTCTGCCTGATTTTCCTGGTTGTATTCAAACAGTAAGTCCACCTTGCCAATTCTCTTCTGCCCTGTGTCCCCAAATCCTCTAGAACCAGATCTCCCTCAAGACAGAAATGTAATTTTTCTCAGCCTTCCTGCTAGCTCCAGTTGAGATTTGAGCTCTTTTGACTAGATCAACATTACTGAATATATGATTGTGTGTTTGCCATACAATAGTACTGCTTTGATGATGCTCCTGCTTATTTTGCTTTTCATAACCAGGTGCTGGCTGATGGACGTCTGATAAATCGGAATACTACATCAAAGCCAGTTTTGAGTGTAACACTCTTTGGGAGGTGGTATGAAAAGGACCCTCCATCCACAGATCAAGCTTCAGCATGATTTCACTGCAGATCCTTTCATCTGCTCGTTTCTGTAACACTAATTAAACACAAATAATGGTAATTAAAAGTAATATTAATAATTAAGATGGCATTCTATTTTTCTAGTTGCCTTATCTAATGGCATAGTTACTGCACTTTGATTTATTGACTCGATTTTGCAGCAAAAGCCAATACTCTGCAGGACTGTTATGTATGAATTTTTATATGGTGGCTTTGGTTGGCATAGGCTTGGCCTGGGAACAATAGAAACACCGGGAACAACAGAAAATAAATTCTTCTGACTTTACTGGTGTAGGATTCAGTGGGTTGTGCCTCAATAAAGAAGAGTTTTTAATTATTTGAAATTTTTGTTGGACTATTCAAAGCCATTTCCACAACACTGCTCCCACCACATTTCTGAACAGCCACTTTTGTAAACAAGAGAAAACAGAACCTTTGAAAATTTTAACTTCCTTTGAAAAGGAAAAATAGCCTCAAAAATATGTTCCTTCAAAAAAACCAGTTATTCAGCTCAGCACACTGCAGTGTGTTATCATACCATGGCCTAACTCACAGTTGAAGGACTCTAATCTTTCTGGCCACATTTTTAGGATGTGGGAAATCTCCCTAGCACAGAATTGTCAACTGTTTGTGTCACAAAGGCTCAAAAGAAGCAATTTCTCAGGAGCATGTCTGTGTTCCCATGGAATGGTTGCTCCTACAGGTGAAAGGGAGAGCCGGGACTGCAGCAGCAGGTGTTGGGTAAGGGGAGGGAACAGCTGGAGCCGGTGGGACAGGCTGGCACGTGTGAGGATGCGGGCCCTGCAGAATGTGCTTTAGGCAAGTGGACTGGATTGCTTTGTGTCTGCCAGCTAAAATTTCTATGTGTGCCCAATTCTGTTGTTTGTTCTGCAGGCTTGCTTTGAAGCACAAACATTGTTTATACTTCATCTGACCAAGATCATTGAAAAAATATAGACTTGTAGGAGGCAAAATACATTGGTGTTTTTTGACAGGGGAATGTCTTAAGAATGAGATTATATTCTGTGAAAGTATCAAACTGGATCCCTCTACAATTCATGTAGTGGAAGTAATGGGAAAGATCCTACTGTTTGGGGAGGAAAAGCACTGTATCTTTAAATTTCTCCCCGCGCCCTAGGGGAAGCTGTCCTGTTAGGGCACAAGTAACAAAACTACGCGCTGTTGGCAGAAGTGAGCGCCTCCTGACTTCCTGACCCCTGCTCACATGTGCTCAGGGCTCGGCAGGGATTGCGTGGCTGCCGAGTGCCCTTTCACACAGCCTCCTCCAGGCAGGGTTAACCCTTGGAATGCTCAGTAGTCTTCCTCACGCTCTCCTCTCGCTAAGCTCAGGAAAAGAAGCCGGCGCACAGTCTGACGACAGACTCCCTCTACAGCTAAGCTGATTTAGCACCACATTGCATCCTGCTTCGCAAAGTAAATCCTCAGGTAGCCCCCACCATCAGGCGGTGGCAGCGGTGGGGACGGTGCCGTACAGGGGCTCAACCACCTCCCTGCACAATCTATTCCAATGCCTGACCATCTCTACAGTGAAAATTTTTTTTTCTAATATCTAACCTGAATCTCCTCTGTCCCACTTTAAGGCCATTACCTCTAGTCCTCTCATTGTAGGCACAGCAGGAGAGACTGGCCTTCACCTCATAGCAAATTCCTTTCAGGAAGTTGTATAGAGTGATGAGGTCTCCTGTGAGCTTCCTCTTCTCTGGACTAAACAAATCCAACTCCCTCAGCTGGTCCTCATAATGCATGTTTTCTAGACCTTTCAGGAGCCTTGTTGCCCTTCTCTGGACAGGCTCCATCACTCCAATGCCCTTGTTAAAGTGAGAGTTCCAGAACGAAACAGAGCACCAAAGTGCAGCCTCACTAGTGCTAAGTACAGTGGATGATCACTTCCCTGCTCCTGCTGGCCACACTGGTATTGATACAGGCCCAGATGCCATTGACCTTCTTGGCCACCTGGGCACACTGCTGGCTCCTACTGAGCCAGCTGTCAGCCAGCATTCCCAAGTCCATTTCTGCCAAACAGCTCTCAAGCCACTCCTCTCCCAGCCTGTAGCACTGCCTGGGGTTGCTGTGCCCCAAGCGTAGGATCTGGCACTTCACCTTCTTGAACAATTGTCCTTAGTCCATTGGTCAAGTCTGTCCAGCTCTCACTGTAGACCCTTCCTACCCTCACACAGATCAACATTTCCACCCAAGTTAGTGCCATCTAGCCGGTTTTTTTACCCATCCAAGATTTTTACCATGATGCTCTCAAGGTCCTCAATCCCATGTTCTGGAGCTGGTGAGACACTGGGAGTGCAAATATTCTCCAAACTCCAGCACTGATTACCGCTGCTGTGTGCCATATGACCATTTTTATTTCCAAATGTAAATAGATAGTCACACGGGACATAACAGTGACATGTCTCATATAATCACATGTTTATCAAAAGCCCCAGACAACGTGCTCTGACTCATGGAAGCTCAACATTATTGCTGCTAAAGCCACACTGTCTTAAAACATTGTTCACTATTCGAGTCAGTTACTGTGTGACCACAGACTGATCTCAGTCCAGCAATGGTTTATCCAGTGTGGTCCTCTTCCCATGGGTACAAACTCAGTGCATTCACTGTACTTGTCCCCAGGGAAACTGGTGGGTGATACCACAACTCTCTCCCAGGGAAAGGATCTGGATTTAAGTTATGGCACCTGGGAAGGTCTCATCTTGCAGAAAGGATTCAGCAGGAGTGTGTGGCCAGTCTCAAAGCTGAGAGGTGACTTCTTCAGGTTTGTTCACTGCTGATGCCAGTCCTCTGGATAATGGAATGTGTGTGCAGGTAGGTGTAGGATCTCAGCCCTGAATGTGGTGAGTATCTTGAATCCAGGATTTTGTTCAAGCCATTGCAGTTTGGTTAAGGTGTGTTGAGCATTTTCCTACAGAAGACTGGCAGAAGCCATAATGACACTGAATTCTTTTTGCTACAGAGATTGCATAACACTGATCATTGTGAAATCTGTTATTGTGAGAAGTGAGTCAAGCATACAGAAAGTAATCCTGTGCAAGTCCACCCATCACCCACATACCAGCTCCCTCTGTATAAAAACAAGGCTGCGTGTAACCACCAATAACAATAAACACTTCTTCGAGAGTAGTGCAGAAAAAACCCTTTTGTTACCTGACTGCTGAATCAGAACCAAAGAAGGTAAGAAACTTGGGTGCCAGATACAAGTGATTTTTGTGCACATGCAGTTTTAGCTTCAAGATTTCTGCCAGAGTGATCTGTGGATATAAGAAAGCACATTGCAATAGGCAAAATTTAGAAATTGTGTGTCTTATTCATGATGGTCTTCCTACAGAGATCTTTGGGGACCAGAGATGTTTGGGGTTTGGTTATTGAGTGGTGGGTGTGCTGATGGTTCTGCTCAGACAACCAGCCTTCCTTGCAGCTCCCCCTAGGATATGCAGCAGCCCTCAAAGCCCCTGCTACTCCAGCCTGTGCTGTGCTGAGCTGGGGTGGCCCATGCTGGGGCCTACCTCTCCCAGCACCTCATGCTCTTGAGTTTGGGGAGGAATGTGTCCATGCTGGTCTCTGCTGAGATTTCCCAAAGTTGTTTTCCTTCTGGGACTCAGGCTTGCTTGAACTGTGTTACTGCAGCAATACTATGCCTGATTTTTTGGTACATCTGGTAAGTAACATGTTTTTTCAGCTGCAGCACAGTGGTGGCTTCTCAGTGACTTCCCTGTGTTGTGTGAGGCAGAATTGCTCAATGCTGGCAGCTCCCTTGCCTTTGATGCTGAGTCTTTCCCGAAAGGGTGATTACATGGGTGTCATCTTTTAGCTACCCTGGGGAATTCCCAGCTTTTGTGCAAGACTTCCTCTGTTTAAAGCCCACTGCCTTTGTCTGCCTGCCACCTCCTCTTGGGTGACTTCCAGGCTCCAGACACAGGGCTTCCTAAAACTTGTGCCTCTGCTGTGCTTTTGGTGCTATCTGCTCTGGAGCCCTGCTATCTGCTCTGGAGCCCTGTGCCCTGAACACAGATGTTGCAGCCAGCTGTGAGCACAATGACATTTTAGAATCATAGACTTGATGAAGTGTTGGCTTCTCCTGAGGAGGCCTTGGTGCTGATAAAGAAGAATCATTCTTTTGGTTGACACTACATAGGGAATAGGAAGATTTTTCAAGGAGGAAGAAGGTTTTGGTTTTTTTTAATTTCTTCTAAGTGGTACATGACAAGTCAGGTTATGCTCCTTTACCCTCACTAAAGTGCCAGAGGCCCTAACTAAGATTTTTCTAGGGATGATCTAAAACTATTGTAGCAATATTCTACTTACAAAATACTATGCTAAAAATTTATTTCCATGAGAAAAAATGGTGCTTTCCATGAGTAATTTCAAGTTGCTTATTGTACAAAATCTTCCTTTTCATAGTAAAGAAAAAAAAGTGTTGTCAAATTCTTTCTCACAAAACAAGCAAGTCTGTTAGCTCTAGGCAGAGAGGTCAGCACAATTCAAGGGATAGTTTATACTGCAGTGTGAGCCCGGTGGAGAGGACACTCTCAAGGCACCCACTTGAACTGTAACAAGCCATTGGACAAAAGCAGGAGGTATGGCAGGACCACATGTCTGATAAACGTCGCTGAATTGTCTGCGCTCGGGAGCAAGAGGGCTGCACCCCACACAGGTGGTCTGTCTTCAGCTGTGGCTGAAGTTTCCACTGATGGCAGCCATGTGCAGCAAGGTTATTTGGAGTAGTGTATCCTAACCAAGGGAGTCTGGGCTTTCCCCGAGATGGGTTCAAAAGCATGGAGAGAGATGTGCAAAGGAAATGTGCAAATGCTCCTTCCAATGAACCCCTTGTACATTAACATGGCTTCTGACAAGCTCTCTTAGCCTTTTGTTCTACTTCTATTTAAAACCTTTCATAATGGCAACAAGATCAGATTCCGAGAAATGCTTCTTTGACTTTTTGGGAGAAATCTCTCAGATTACTTAACAGAAGATTATTGCCAAAGCAAACATATTAATCTTTACTCCTCCTCTTTCTCTCCAGTTTATATCCCCCATGCTGACCCAGGAGCTGGGAGGCTGCAGCCATGCTCCCTTCCCAGGCTCTCCTGCCCACTGTGGTGTTTGCACTCGCAGCCCTTCAGGCCCTTGCCTCTGACACCTTCATGGCAGCCGTCTATGAGCACGCCGTCATCCTGCCACATCCCACCCAGGAGCCCGTCCCTGCCAGCGATGCTTTGGCCCTGATGAACAAAAACATGGATGTCTTGGAAGGGGCCATCAAGGAAGCTGCCCAGCAGGTACGAGGGCTGCCGTGAGGGTTGTCCATCAGTGTTTCCTGGTCCTGCTGACCCTCCTGGTTGTCTGTTGGTGGGTGCCCTTTAAACGGAGCCTGTTGTGACAGGGTGCCCACATCATTGTGACTCCTGAAAATGGCATCTATGGCTGGCAATTCACAAGAGAATCCATCTACCCCTACCTGGAGGATATCCCTGATCCAGCGGTGAATTGGATTCCCTGCACTGACCCCTCAAGGTGATTCCTTCTGCAGTGGTTTAGGTGATTTCAGCCTGTTATCTCATGGAGTCTTAAGCAGCTCACATTAAATTGCTAAGATCTGCTAATTCTTTAATCTATAAAAATTCACAAGTACTGTAGAAATGAGATGCATCAAAAAGAGTTCTTAATTAAATGGTAATGGGAATATGTCAGGTAAGAGCATTGAGACAGTTTTACTTGCAAAAGGACAAAAATGAGGATGTTTTAGGCAAAATAATTATTTTAAAAACATGCGCAAATTTATTGATTCAGATCACTTGTGAAAACCTTCTGTAAGTGGAAGCTATTTTATTATCATGTAGCTGCATAGATCAGACAAGCTGATTCAGTCCTCAGTTCAGGTGGCTGAGTGATTTCTAAACGAAATTGCACAAAATATTAATCTAGATCTGAAAGAAAAATCTTTTGGAAATCCAGCCACTTGCACATCTGCTGTGTTACACATAGAGGTGGTCCCAACGTGTGTCAGCTTGGGACACTGAAAAGACTGAGTTCATGTCTAAGCTAACCTTTTATGTTCTCTTTTGAGGCTTTATGAAGCTAGATTTCAGGAGTCCTCAGCTCTGTAAATGCTGTGCCCACTTTTTACTAAAGGCATACAGACAACAATTATTAAAAAAGGCTAAAATTTTCTTCTGAATCAGGGCTTACAGCTGCTTGATAATTTGCTTTTTAAGCTATTTAAGATTTGTGTCTCTGTACTGATTTATTCTTGTCTTTGCTTTGTGAAGCTCTTCACATCTTTGTATGAATGTTAGCTGGAAACTGTTAGCTGTTATTTTCTATCCACACAGAAAATAACATTGTAAAGGATACAGGAAAGAAGAACACAGGGAGGACATTTTTTAAAGATAAAAGAGACTGGCAATTTAAAATGATGCTATGAACAGAGAGGAAAATGAACAAAACCTATGATTTGATCTATTGCTTTTTCAGCATCTGGGGGTGTGCAGTTAATGGTGTAGTAATTCTGAATGCATTACTTTTACATGGGGCACTTAAAATTCTATAAGACTTTTTTTTTCCTTCACTAAAAATGCAATAGATTTGGTCCAGCACCAGTGCAGGAACGACTCAGCTGCATGGCCAGAAATAACTCCATCTATGTGGTTGCAAATATCGGGGACAAGAAGCTGTGTAACTCCAGTGATCCCAGCTGCCCCAGGGACGGTCGGTACCAGTACAATACGGATGTTGTCTTTGACACACAGGGCAAACTGGTGGCTCGCTACCATAAGGTAAGGAAATACTCCAGCATCAACCTCTAATTTATTATCAAAAAATTTTTCAGCTCTCTGGCATCAATTTCAGATGGTTTTATACAGTAATTTTACATTATTAAAAGTGACAACGAATCTAGGATGATTTGATGATCTTATGGACAGAAGGAAAACTAAGTAATTGCTTGACCAGTCAGGCAAATTATTCCCAGGAGCACTGTAGCTGCAGAGTGCGTGCCAGCTGCCAAGCACTTGAGGGCTACATTTATGACAGTAAATGGTAAGAAAACAGTGACAGAATTTTCCATACTCACTAAAGATTAGCTTTTCCTTGATACATTCGTAGCCAACCTAGACAGTGCTTTCTCAGGGGACATCTTGGCCCTTGGTCTTGGAGTATAGCTAATACTGGATGGGCATTAGTGTCAGGAGGTAGATGGGGCACAGCCACCCCATTTTTAGGAGGGGGGGTCAGCTGATTGGATACAAACAAGCTATGCTAGCCAGCTCAGTTACTTCAACTCCCAGTTGTGCATTAAAGCCTGTCTCAGATGCAAAAGCTGTTCATAATCTTACCTTATTTTCAGTTTCTAATATGCCATTTTCTTCACCTGCAGTACAATCTGTTTAGAAGTGAAACTCAGTTTGATTATCCAAAAGAGCCAGAAGCTGTCACCTTTGAGACTCCTTTTGGGAAGTTTGGCATTTTCACTTGCTTTGACATCCTTTTCTATGAGCCTGCCGTGGTCCTGGTGAGCAAGATGCAGGTGGACACTGTGCTCTTCCCAACAGCTTGGATGAACGTCCTGCCCTTTCTGACTGCAATTGAGTTTCACTCTGCCTGGGCTATGGGCATGGGTGTCAATTTACTTTCTGCAAATACTCACAACACCACCAAGGCAATGACAGGTGAGGTGCATTCAGGAACAGAGAAATCGTTCCCAGATTCAGAAGCAGACAGAAATGTTTTAGTCATAGTGAAGTCTCTGAAAAACAGTGTTTTAATTGGACTAAAGATCTTTGTGATTTGGTACTGAATGCAACAAACAACTTCAGGTAAAAGAATGTTGAATGTTCTGAAAAAGGTAAAAATAGAAAAAAATAGACATTAAGACACTAGACATTTCTAAAAGTAGAAAAATAGACATTGAGTTTTGATAACTTAAAAGTGAAATTTTATTTCATAAAATAGCAAAAAGTTTCACTTAAATTTTCAGTCTCCCATCTAGAGACAGCATTTCCTATTTAAAATTCAATCAACAGCTAAATGGAGAAAAAAATGTTTTTATCAGAACCTAGTAGAGTAAAACCAACAGGAGAATTCCACTTGTATACTGAATAAAACGTTCTCTTTTTTCTTGTGGCTGCTGAGGGCTTTGAGATACTATGTTTTTCTTTGCTCTGAAAATATATTTACTGCTGTGGAGAAACAGAATGTAAGAGAATAGTGCAGAAGGCAATCTCACCCCTGAGGAGTTGCAGCTGTGCTAATCACCAAAGATTAGGAACAGGCCTCTGCTTAACAGGCCACAGCTGTGTCCAATAAGAAGATGAGTGCTACAAAAGCGTGGGTTAGCTGCTTGAGAAGGGAGTTGGAGTTTGTTGGTTGTGCTGTGAAGAAGAATGAGTCAGTGCTGTGTGAGGAGATGCCTGTGAGAAATCACCAAGAAGGTGTGGGACTTTTGCAATAAGGTGACAACATACTGCCTTTTTTTTTCTCTTTACTGAGAAAAGGATGTAGCTGCATCTGTTACTCTTCCCTGAATCAAAGCGAAAACTAAAAAGGAGCATTTTTGCCTGCCCTAAATAGATTGAGTTTAGGCCACAGCCCTGTGTGTATTTCAGTGAAACATAACTACCCCCATGATTGTCTCCTTTGTCCAATATGCCACTCTGAGAGCTATGATTTATTTTTAAATGAACCTTAGCTTTAGCACTAGGATGGGTATTTCAGCTTTTAAGTGCTTTAAAGTTATTCCGAAACCTCTCAGTACTGTATTGAATGAAAAGAGTATCACTGAAAAGCAATGCTGGTGTGATGTGGGGGTGACTGGCACCCCTGCCAAGCTATGCTGTGTGGTGCTGGCTAAGGGGGGGCTGGTGGTGTCCTTGGCAGGCAGTGGGCTGTTCACACCAGAGGGACCTGCTGCCTACCACTACGACAGTGCCACCGAGGAGGGACGTCTCCTGCTGGCAGAGTTGAGTGCACACCCCCGTCTTTCCCCCACCTACCCCCCTGCCATCAACTGGAGTTTGCATGCCACAAGCATCGAGAAGTTTCCTGGAGAAAACGACACTTTCTCAGGAACTGTCCGGAAGGATATATTCACTTTCAGAGAACTCGGGCACAAGGATGGAAATTACACTGTTTGCCAAGGAGACCTTTGCTGTCATCTGGTCTACCAGATGTCAAACAAGAGGAGAGATGAAGTTTATGTCCTGGGTGCATTTGATGGGCTTCATGGTTCTCTCATAAAATACCATTGGCAGGTAATTGCATGTTTAGAGGTGAGTGTGGCCACGTGCCAGCTATCTAAAAACATTTGTCCATTACTGCATCCTGGGAACTTTGTTTGCTACCAAATCCAGCTCATGGTTGCTGAAAGCTCAGTGGTGTTTTGCCTTTCTGCCTCCTCCTCCCACAGATCTGCACTCTGCTCAAGTGTCCCAGCACAAACCTGAGCACATGTGGGCAGCCCGTGGAGACGGCTCAGACCAAGTTTGAGATGTTCTCCCTCAGTGGCACATTTGGCACCAGCTACATCTTCCCAGAAGTGCTGTACAGCGGGGTGCAGCTGGCCCCCGGGGAGTTCGAGGTAATGGGACACCCTGGAGCTGCTTGTTGCAAGGTTTCTCACACTGTGGCACTGAAAATTGATCTGGCAGCAAAGTCCAATCCAAGAACTGCTTTCTTTGGTTCTGCTGTCTGGAACCCAAGGGGACAGATTTAAATGGAGGGTTGAATCAATCTAGCAAATCTGCCTCCCCACTTCAGATCATAAATGAAGAAACCACAACTTTCAATGAGCTGTTTTCTACAGGTTTCCCATAATGGTCATTTTAGGAGAAAAAGAAATAAAATACTCTGAGAAATTGTCCAAACAAAAAAAAATTACTTAGAAGTATCATGTGTAAGAGCAGAGATTCTATGCAGTTAAGAATGTTAAAAGTGATTTTTTGAGGGGTTTATGGGGTTTATTTTTTTTTTTATGTGGCAGTTCATATTTTATTTTTGGCAAAAGATATTTTCATTCATAAACCTTAGATTAGTTTTATGCAATAGGCTAGATGAAATCCTAATTGATTTGGAAGAAGTATTTAACAGCTTACAAGAGACAATGAAGACAGTGAGAAAGACCTGAAAAATTTTAGGGGAAACAAGGGTGATTTTTTTACGATGTAGGAAATTGAAAAGCATTGTTCACCCTTCATTCTTGTTTTTGAATGAGATTTCTGTAAAAATAGGCACATCAAAGAATTTATTGATATCCTAAAGATATGATTGTGGTCTAATTTTAAAACAATAGGCTGTATTTTCTTAACAAATACATGCTTACCTTTTGTCACAGGGCAAAACAAGTTCTTACAGGTGATCACAGTTGGCGTACAGTGATTTCAAATTGATACATAAAAAGGAACTAGGAAAAGCTATATATGGCCAGTAGCTTGAAATTCTCAATTTCCATCTGAAAATTGTTCTGGGGTCCACAAATCAAAAAATGTTTGAAGTATGTACTAGATGTGCATATGACCTTTGTTTCCTTATATGAGTTACTAAGGGGAATCTAACAAAATAGTTAGTCTCACTCTCACCTTCTTATGAGGTGCAGAAAATGGGCTTTATTTCTAAAGAGAGAGGAAAGTTTAAGGATTTCTGGGTCCAAGAAAGTGTAGGAAGGCTATAATGGGGAGGCTGTGGCAGACCCAGAGAGAATTCTGTTTTCTTTCACTACCGTGACTGTTTTTAATAGTGTTGCATCAAAATATTCAGCATCTAAGAACCTATTCTTTCTGTACAATGCAGTATTGCTACTCTGTTAGTCGACTATTAGTGCCATTTTTCCCTTTCCCACCAGGTGCTACGTGACGGGCGTTTGAAAAGCAAGCATGGCACGTCGAAACCGCTTGTAACAGCGACACTTTTTGGAAGGCTTTATGAGAAGGACCAGCCACATCCTCTGCGAATTTCCCTGTAAAATGTCTCCTTAGGAGTAACACACTCACCAGAGACAGGAAGGGAATTTCCTCCTGAAATAGCAGTTACCTTGTATGATTCCTGTTCTACAATATTACACTTCTGCTCAGCACCTGTGGCACTTGGGCTTATTTGGGAGAAAGTGATGTGTTCACCCTGCTGTGTGTGCCTTTTTAACAGGGCTTGAGCCAGTGCAGTTATTTTTTAGTATGCATGATCTGTCACATGAACCTTTTAGTCATAAATTTTGTTTCCCCTGAGATTTCATATAGCTTGATAGGATTACAGTAGAAAGAAGACTGATAACAAAATCTATGAAATGTAGTTTGTCATTTTACTGGAGAATAAATTCTCTCCAAGAAAGCCTTTCTGTCCCTTTTGGCCCTTCCTGTTTTTCAGATTGTATAATCATTAAGTTTCTGCCTTTTTCAGCCTTACAGCCCAATCAACAGTGCCTACTTAACACTCAATGAGCCTTGGCCCCATTCTGACCAAGTACAATAAAGAGAAAACAAAAAAGATTTGAAATTATCTTTAGTGTAATCTTAAAGAGAGAAAGTGGTCCTCAACAACCCACCCAGGTGTTGGGTCTGGCTAAGATAAAGCACATCCAATTCTGCAGTCCCTCTGATCTTGCACCTCTTTGTACATGGCAGATGAGTGTCGGGTCCAGGGCACTTCACATCCAGCTTAGCATACACAACACAGTACTCCAACACCTTCTCCTGGGTATATGGATAATTTCTTCAAAACTGTTAAGATATATGAAATTGGCAATCTTTTAATACCTGAAACACATTTCACCCTGTAGCGTGAGCAATGGGCCTTATTTTGGATTTCTAGCAATGATATATCAAACTTGGCAGTCCTGGGCCTCATTTCTGCCTATCGTATGGAGCAAATGATCTTTGTTTGTATCCACTATGCCTTGGAGTGGTCCCCCTCTCCACACTTATCCCATAGCATTTTACATCTACTGCCATTCTTAGAGCCTGCACCAAGGTTAGCACTGAGCTGTGCTAAATGTGGCATGTAAGAAACACTCTGTGACTTCCCACTCCATGCACATCTATGTATGTTATCCAGAAGTAGTTGAAATCACATGATTTCTGGTTTGCCCCATGCTGCAGAATCTCAGTGTGCAACTTTAGGGGCTCTTTCTGGGAGTGTTTTCACCCTGGAAATAAAACACTTGAGCTTTCACTCAATGGGGGAACTGTATCACTTGGGAGCAGTTACTCAAAACAGACAGGGACTCTAAGTTGTGCTTGCTGGTTCCTTGTTCAGCACCTTGCAAGTGAACACAAAACTCTCTCACATATCGCTTGCTGGCATTTCTGAAGTTCTGGGTACTTCCCAGGTGCACGCAGAGCTGACTGTCTTGGGTTGTCAGAGCTTGACACAAGGTAGGATAAAATAAATATTGCTAGTTAAATACAGGATATCAGGAAAGGACTCTTGTATCTCATCCACTGGCAGTGCAGAAGTCCAGGATTCCTTGAAAATTACACTAAAAGCAATTTTCAAGAATGGCTCACCTGCAGTTTTTGAGATATCCTGCACAACTTTCCTCTCCCTGAGAGGGTTCCAAGGGTGCCATACAATGAACCACTGAGGAGTTTATTAAACTCTTTCCCATTTCTGATGACAAAGCAAGAATTTGGACAACCAGAGGATGAAGTTGCATGGACTGTTGCAGCAGCCTCAGAATAGCTCCACCATTTCAATACAGAAGAACAATGAACCCTGCTTTTGGGGGAGGATTCCCTGAAGGGGTTGCAAAAGCCAACCAGATCTTCACCTCAGTGACTGGTGGCCACAACTGTCTAGACAAAGTTCAGGTAACGAAATATGAGGTTTTGTAATAAAAGGAAATTTCAAATGATGCAAATTACAGAAACATTCAGAACAGAGAAACAGAGAGGTCATAAATGCCCAATGCAACAAATTACATTTATCTTTAACAGCAGCATTATTTACTGACTCTGGGACAGATCTGCCAGAGTAGAAAAGTCAAATTAGTTTATAAGTAATTCATGTCAATGACCCCACCCCAAAAGCTACTACAGATGATATCTTAATGAGACCTATCCCTCTCTGAGATGGAAAAGCATGCTCTTCATATATCAATATTTCTTCCTTACACCTTGATGCTGGCCAGAGCAAACAAGACCCACCTGTTCACAGTGTTCTAACCACACAGAAAGAAAAACAAGTTCATAATAAATTTTATTGATGCAAGGCTTCAGATGAAGGTAGAAAAGTACTCAATTTAAACAAATATGATCCAAACCTTGCAGCTACCTTAAGTAAAACTAGTAACAATTTTGGGGAAACTTTGAGTAAAATCTAATGTACTTATTTTGCATATTGAATTAAAGTAAGGAGGCCTTGGGAAAAAATAGAGAAACAAAATCTTAATAAGGAGTTTTAAAGAGAGTAGGACATGACTCTTCAGCCATGTCCTTACACATATATTTAAGTCATCATGACCTCAAGTTATGCATTAAATAATGTGGTACACTGAGGCACAATCAGAGGTCGTGTGATTTTTAGACCAAGTAATTCAAAGCTAAACATTTATGAACAACTTACATTATCATGGGTGAATTACTGACAGTATGGGACACCATTCCTGAATGGCGCAGTTACAGTGAGTGACAGACAGAATGACAATGACCTGAATTTGAACTGCAGAATTTCTAATTAACCAACAATTGAATTATAACCCCACTTCATCCAGATGGTGTTTGCAATGCCGAAGTCCACCACCAGGGCAACAAAGTTGAAAAAGAGAAATCACTTGCATAGGTCAATAAAGAGAGCAGCAGTTATTATAAGGTTTACCACAGCTAATACAGGAATTCTCTGTGGCGTGTGATGGACCATGAAATGTCATGGAGCCCCAACAGAGAAATAATTATAGTACACCTTCCAAAAATTAACCTTTTAACACTGTAGACAAACACCACCTCCTACTGAAGCCACAGATGAGCATGACAACATTTCCAAGTGTTGTTTGTCTGTGAATCAGACACAGCTGATAGATGAAAGAGAAACTTTGCATACTGACAACACTATGTTATCTTCCCTTTCAGTCTGGAAAAAAAAAATAGTAGCTGTGAAAGTAATAAAATATTTATTGTAGCCACTCATTACTATAAAGCTTTAAGGGAAATAATCCACCTTCTGTTCAGATATTCTCATGGTAACAGGGAATTTCTACTACAAATATGTACAATATAGGAAATGCATTGTAGCTGCATGATTTTAACTTTGTCTATCAATCTTCATTTGCTGCTACTAATGTTAAAGTTTATTGATAACCTCATAGCCTGGGAGCTGCGATGGTGTCAGGATGCAAGATTAACAAGGAGTATACAAAGCAGGGATAGATTTTAATGTCAAACATACAGTCAATCTTTAGGAAATCCCCTTTCAGAAAAATGGGAGAATAAATGTTTGCATACAGTTGGTCACCCAGCTTATGTACTGCAAAACATAATAACATAAAACTAAAAAACCATAATTTGAATACATTTGAAATAGTCTTCAAGATCAAGTGTTGACTTTTGTAACAGCAATTTTGAACATTTGTTTCTAAATGAGCATAGGAGTATGAGACACACTTGAACTTACCAAAGTTAAATACATGGAAACATCAAGGTCAGTTTTTTATAAGATGATTATTTTTCTATTTTGCAATTCACCTTGATGTGTTTTCCAGCCATCTGAGATTGAGTTTTGTAAACTGAAAAAGGTCTATTCAGTTATAGTTTTAGGGCTCTCAGGGGAAAATTCATTGCAGGCAGGAGAGAGGGGCAGTTCAGGCATGACTTTCTTGTCAAACTTATGGATGAGTTTGGAAAAAGCTAATCTTTATTCTGCAACATTTATGAAATTCTTAGACAAAATATAGCACTGACAGACAGTTGCCGTTAAGTTGAACTAAGAAAGTACAGCAAACTCTAGGCCAATGCCATTGCCATGTTACTTACAGACTCTTTAGGATACACTCTCCCGTGCTTTTTAGAGACCTTTCTAAGTTTTCCATATAGCATTTCTTCCTGTGCTGGCTAAGTGGTGCTATGTAACACCTAAAGCTCTCCTTTCCTTTCATTTTGTCTCTACTAGGAGCCAGAAATCTTGACTTAATGCTCTTTTCATTGAGGTCCAATAAAGTCAAATGAGGGCAGTGAGTTTGCTATACTATCACTAAAATCTGTGGTGGTTACATTCAGTTTGCATCTACTGATTGTGCATCTGCAGAAACAGAGCTGTTCTACATTTAGCTTTGAACTCAAACAGTCATAATCTGTGCGTTTTTCAGTTTCCTCTGCATGGAGACTCTCACACAACTTGACTGGGTTTGGTTGTGGTTGGAAGTCATCAACTCTGCCCCAAAGAGTTCAGAGATAGTGACTGATATAGCACTGATCCTGACAAAAGTTAGGTGCACTGATCCTGTGACATTCCCAGTACCTTAGTTTATCACCCAGCTTACAAAGTGTACAAAAATGGATCAAAAAAATTGTACAAACCTTTATTTTCTTCCCATCCCCTTCTTGTTAAGTGGTTGTCTTCTCCAGTTTTCTCAGAGACATTCTTATGCCAAGTTGGCTGCAATAATTACCATAAACAAATGGTGAAAACACATTGTAAGTCATTCATGGGAACATTAAAAAAAAAAAAAGAATTATTCTTGTCTAAGAAGAAATCAAATATATCTGACACTGATTTAACTGATTTACAGGTGGGAAGAGTAAACTGTAAAAACATGGCCATTAATAAATAATGAGGTACTTCCTGGTAGCTAGGCTGAAAGACAGAAAGCTTTTGGCAGGTGTGAGTAAAAAAATATGTGTGGTCTTTTCATAACTAGTGTAAATTAAGAGTATCAGATGGCTGTATGTGTGAGGATTGTGTATATATAAAAGCTTAAGTTTAATCAATCATCATTACCTAGAAACAGACTTAGACATTTATTTTGTTGAAGAGTTTATGAGACTATCTTCAGTGTTACACTACACCTTTTAGTTGTTTATTCATGTTAACATTAGCCTCTGTTTGCAGGAATTCGTCCAAGCTCAGCATTAGACTAATCAAGAACAGAAACCTCTTGCACTTTAGGGTTGTGTAACACTTAATGTAACCACTCCTCTATTTTGCCAAGGAAGTCTTACAAAGCCAGTTGTTTTCTTCTGAGCCTTTTCTTATAGATTGTTGTCCCTTCTGTTACTAAGGATGTGACCTGTATTCCTCCTTGATTTACCAAGGCTCATCATTAGATCTTCATGACTTACAAACATTTGCAAGTAGAGGGGAGAATTGCAGATAAGAACAAAATGCAAAATGGACTACAGGGGGTAAAAAGGGAGGGAGGAGAAGACAGAGATGCTTTCTCTTCACCAGTCCTTACCTGCATGAACAAAAATGTATGCCAGATGGTAGAGGAGCATTTAAACAGCTGAACCTCCTGTTGCCATCTGTTCCCTGTAAGTGTCTTGTGTATTGTCAGGAG